TTCTAAGTGTGTAGAGGAAATTTAGTATAGGAGGTAATTATAACAACCTTTGTATGGTGTAGAAATTACATCTCTAGACAGCCCACCTTTATTCAAAGGGAATAGCACCACTTTGGCTTAGTAAATCCATGTGACTCGCTGATATCACAGACACATCGAGTCATACAGTAAAATGCCGACACAAAGAGAGTACAAGCCTTTCTTCTTAGTATTAAAAATAAAGAAAGAGACTTTTAGGCAGAATCGCACCTCTGCTAAAACTCTGGGTATAAAATCCAGAGAACTCAACGCCGGCGCGCGGGAGAACACACAACCAGAAGGACGAATATAGGCACCACGTCAAGAAACAGACGACGAAGAACATCTGAGCGACGCAACAGTAGCGGTTTGTGCTGCACCGTCAGACGACGATAAAGTGGCACTGAGGACTGAAGAAGGCGAGCACGCCAGCCCAGTTGACGAAACGGTACCAACGACGACGACGTCGGACACGACGACCAAGGACGGCGGTGAAGTGACAGCGGGATCCAAGACGACGGCTAACACCAATGACGACGCTGAAAATGACGCCACCAACGACGCTAAAGAGGCCGCATCCACGCAAGACGAGAAGAACGCGCCTACCAGTGACGCTCACACCCGACGACGAAGAAGATCACCAAGAACGAATGAAATGACGCGACCGATGACGAGAGCAACTAAGCGACGCCTGGAAACCGCGACTAAACAACGAACGAGCACTGTAAGAACGAGCACGGGGATTCACGAGCCCGACTTAGTATCAGAATAAATGTCAAGTAGTATTACGACACCAACACCGCCAAAACTACACGACACCATGGGATCAACAACACGTGAGCTAGAACAAGGACCATCAGCCCCTTAGTACGGCAATCAACGCTTAAAGGCGAAAGAGAACGACGCCCATGAACTAGTAAAATACAAGAAGAAACCGCAACGAGTGACGTGGGCGATGGACAAACGTACGACGACGGTACCACGGTCGACGACGACGCCACCCGCAACGACGGAGACGACGAATACCACCGAGAATGACAAGGCTGCACGACACACGCCGATGCCGGAAGGTACCATCAACGTACGAACACAAAAGAGGGGTCAACGACGAAATCGAGGGCCAATTCGAGAAGGAACCCAGCGAAAAGTTGAGACAGAAACGTTACCGTTTACTGATGATACGATTGAAGAAGCACGTAAACGAAGTCGACTAGTGCAGACGATGTTGAAAGACGGTAAATACAAGGGCATGGCAGTCAACACTGAGTACGGGTTGGTATTAATTACGACG